CACCATTCCTTGTGCAGGGTTGCCCTTCCTTTTCCTTTTTATTTACAAAAATCATAAATGTCTCCTAACTGTAGTTATTTCACTTTTCAAAGTATATTAAAAAAAGAAAAGAGAAGATTTTTTTAACACATATTAAGTCCTTATCCCGAGCCTTGTAGGTCATGGTATACTAATTTTTTCAAGTGTTACAATCAGGGTATCAATTCTCGGGAATCTTTTAGTTTATTTGTTTTTCTTTAAATATCCCTGTACTTCATTCCTTCCAACTTGCTGAAAAGAAAAGGAAAATACAAACAGAAAAAGAATGAAAATTTTGAAAGAGTGATTTTGTTTACTCTTTCATTTGTCGCTCATATTCTGACCGCACTTCATGGACTCCTACAGTAACCTCAAGCTCATGCTCAATAGCTTGCACAAGTGCCTAGACAACAAAGCAAGATATCAACAATATAAAGTGACTGGCAAGAAATTTATGATCAACTGGACATTTGGACCAATATATATTTAATTAGAACAAACCCCTCAGTAGAAACACATACCTGAGCTCCAGGACCTTTATTACTTCCTCCACCTGCATATATAGTGCAAAATAGATCAATACATCATGAAATAAGAAATGAGAAACATTCTTAAGAGAGAAAAATTCTGTCTCATTGTTACCAGGTGTCTCTCGGGTAGCTTTACGAGAATCTAGCAACTCTTTAAGTCGTTTCGTAGCCATAGCAGCTTCTTCAGTTTTTCGCTGAAGGACCTGCCGTCCAATAAGCAATACATCTCACAGTTCAAATCTTCATAATTAAGCCAATTATATAAAAGACTCAAAGCTGGTATAAGCCAATTCTATAAAAGACTCAACTTACCAGCTTTTGCCTCTGGTTTAGAGCCAGCAGCTTATGCATCTCATACTCGTTTCTTCGTCCTTCCTTTTTTAGCTATAAAAAGGAAGATATAACATAATTTTGATGAGTGGCAAGAAACAAAGAGACTCTTCTGGAATGGAACAACTTAACTATGACAGCCTGACACAGAGAACTACAGATTGAAGCAACAAAGATTGGATAGAACCTCAAATATCCCTGTGAATTGATTTCAAGTATGCAATTACCTGAAGCACTTCTTTTTCTCGAGATGCCTTCCACTGCCTGAATTGCTCAGATTCTTGCTTTATCTTTTGTTGTAATTGAACCTTAAAGCAAAAAGGAGTAGAACTAATGAGACGGAGTACATTAACAACATATTTTTCAGCAAGTTGCCAATGCCAGAAAATAGCACCTTGTGTGTTTTTATCCTATGGATCTCATCTTGCAGTCTTCTAGCAGCTTCATCACTTTTTTGTTTTTGTCTCAATAGTTGAGCTTGAGCATCCTGCTTCTTTTTCAGCTCAGCGACCTATAAAAGAATGGTGTTAGTAAAAAATATATTAATAGCATAATTAAATTTTCACATGATTCACCTGTTTCTCGAGGACATTGAGCTTTTGAAGATATTCCTCTTTCAACTTATGAGCACTATCATCAGAATTAGATGAAATGTTGGCAAGATTACGCCTAAGTTCTTCAATTTCTTTCTGGAAAAGTAAAATATAGATAAACAACAGTTCTACATGCATCTAATGGAAAATATCAAAAGAAAAAAAATCACAGATCAAAGTTATCATCAATGAGAAATACCTGTAAAGCACCCTTTTCTAGTTCTAAATCTTGAACTTTCTTCTCATAGTGCTGCTTGAGAATTGATGTATCAGAACCCACGAACTGCTTCATTTCAGCCTTTAAAATGACAACAAATGAGAGGTAAAGATCAGAGTGATTGCCCATCATCTGTACTAGACAGGACCAAATTTTTAACTAAAATGATAGTAAGGCATACTGTACAGAGTGTAACAAAGTTGTGACTTGTAAGCACCCATCTATTGTAAATCATTTTTTATTCTTTTTCTTGTCCGGGCATTCCTAAATGGAGTAGTTCTTTAGTTCAAACTCAGAATACCCGAGGAGAAAAGGCTAATGAGGAAAACTGAAGATAATCCAACATTTTCTATCTCTAAGCAAATTAAATAAATATGATTAAATGCCGAATCAAATGGCTTCTTAATCATTAATGCTATGCAATAAGAAAAATACAAAGATGGTGTATTAAGGGAATCTTTTATTCTTGTTTTTCTTAATACCATGTCATGCTAGATAAAAATAATAAAATGCAGATGGAAAGGTTTTCTTGAATTTGGAAAATGCTTGACAAAGAAACGAAATAACTTCATAATATACATTACTAAATTCATTAAGAAAATACTATTATAAACCTAAGCATTTTATCTATTTTTCTTCTTCTGCGTGCCCTTCATGAAAAACTACTTTTTTGCCTAACCACATGACTACCAAATAGGACTCCATCATTCTTCTTTAAATTTGTATATTCTGGTTTAATGTTTACCTCCTTTTGCTCAAGTCTTTTGTCTAATTCTTTCAATTCCCTGTCCAATTTTTCTTGAAGAGAAGAATGTTCAAGTTCCTTTTCCACAACTTCAACCATCCCTGCAATTTGTCGAGAGATTTCAATATCTGATCTATGCAGCAATCACCTTAGGTGATCATAATATAGATAGTGGTTAAACTAAGACCTCCAGCAAGATATTTTGAACTCATATACGCTCACAGTTATTATTAAAATAACATATGTAAAAAGTATGGGGCATCTACAACAGACAAAGCTGCAGAAAAATATCAATATAGTTTCTGATGCTTACCATCTTTTTCTGTTCTCATATCAGCATCTATGATATACGAATTTCCTGAGTGATTCCCATCATCTTCTGAATCAAGGTAATCAGCAAAATCCTCACGTCTTGATTGATTTAGACTCTGCACCTTTATCAATTCAGACTCTAGATCCTGAATCTTCATGATATAACTCTTCACCATATCAAAATCCTAAAAAAAAAAAAAAGAGATATGAGAATCGAAGGAGTGAGAGAGTGAGTGAATGAGAGAGAGACAGAGAGAGGGAGAGAGTAATATCGATCAACAAGTTTAGCAGTCACAGGAATATCAGTATACTGGAAAGCTTAGGACATCCATGACAATCAAACCTTATTAGACTTGATGTCAATCTCATTCATGGGTTTTCCGTTTTGAATTGATTCGATTTGCATAATCAATCTATCCCTTTCCACCTGACACATGGTTCATATTAATACAACGGATACATTGAACTCCAACATAGCCGTGGAGCAATGAATTTGACAAGAATAGAAATGAACCTGAGCATCAATAGCACGCTGGGTCAGATGCTTATAGTTAGTTTTATATTCTTGTAGAGCCTCTTGTAATTCCATTTTACTTTCTTCAAGTAAAGATATTTTGTGCTTGAGAATCTGTAATCCAAAAAGTTACATACATCAAAAATATAATCAAGAATGCAATACTTATCACTCTACACAAACCTACAAATATATAATTTCAGCTTCCAAATGAACTGATATAAACCGGTGAGCATTTCATACTTGGATTTCTTCAGCTGGTGCACTAGAGTCCCCGCGAAAGTAAAGCAACTCAACTTGCAATTGTTCAATCTGACTCCGCATCCTTTGCAATTGTGTCGCCGCAGGATCACGGTTGATCTACAAAATTAAAGAGCAAATTTCGGCATACAATGTACATTTTAATTTCTTTTTGAAATTGGATCATCCACAACAATTTACAAAATAATTAAATAAATATTTCTATAGATCAAAACTTACAATTGCTTTATTCTGAATGTTCCGTGCACGGTTTGCATACTTCAAGGTATTAAGTGTTTCCTCAGCATTTGTGTCAGCGGGGCTGATACATGCTGCAATACATGAAAAATAGTTCATACATATTAAGATAGTCACACTTGCATATTCCAACCAGAAAATGAGAACATATGTAAAAGTATACCAATCATGATTGTTTTGCTGTTTCCACCAAGAGAATCCTGCAAAGATCAAGTACCAATAAGCTCTGTAAGTCCATGAATAAGAATTCTTTTGCAGAAGACTTTCTCAAAAGAAATGAGATGATTGAAATATAAAATATCTTCACAAGCAAAAGAGAAATAATTAAACCAGAACTGCTCAAATTAATATCCGATATTTCTCAATTAAATTTGATGGTATCAAGACTGAGTTAACTTGCCTGCAGTATCCGTGTTAACTTGCTGTCACGGTAAGGAACATGACCGCCCTCCTTTCGCTTTTTCTGATCCCCTAAGGCACTAATAACATTACCAAGAGCCAGCAAACCCTTATTGATATGAATACCTGGGGCACATGAAAATAGAAGGTAGAATAATTCAGTCATCCTAACAAACCCAAAAGCAAGATTTATATCAGGATAAGATGTTCTTATGTATCTCAAAATAAATCTTAAAGCAGACTGGTCAAAAGAAGAACAAGGGAAAACCAAAATCATATCAGGTGTCCTGATGTTTAATGCTCAATGAAAATAAAGATAAAATCATTCACAGTTTTTATTTGAAAAATAAGTAAATAACTTAACATGCAGACATTTACATAGGTGAACTGTAAAGAATATCACAAACAAGGGAAAACTAGAAAAGAAAATAAATGAAAAATAAGAACACATACACACTACATAAACAATTACCTTCCTGCAAGCGTGTCCCATCTGCACCAGTTCGTTTTGCACGCTCAGAGCCAGCAAGATCTACCAAGTGAAGCTTCGCAACCAGAAGATCATCAGCATCATCACCAGCTGAAGTTTGAGGTGTTCGTTTTTGCTCCATTGAGATTGTGAAAATTGCATGTGAACGGCTGAGAGGAAAAAATGGGTAAAAAGAATGTTATGCAAATTGAAATCAAACTTTTTGGACTCTCATATTCAAACAAACTGTTCCATTAATAATGCTAAAAATAATCATCCATAAACTGATGCTATCTGACTATAAAATTGGAGCTAGCTAAGAAAGGAAACATGATGATCAGAGCTAATCAACTTCAGTTGCTTACATGAACGACTTGACTAACGTAACTGAAAAGTACTAAATATGAAGTAGAGAGAAAAGCACCTCGATTGAGTATTCATGTTTGTGCTCCCTGTGGCACGACATAATGAACCTTGCAGCAAGTATGAAGCCATCTCTTCATTTGTCTTCACCTCTGCCTCTGTAACACCGGCAAGTGCAACCCCTCCACTCACTCTTTCTCTAATCTGTATTGGAACTCTAGCCGGTCCTGTAGTCTTTGGATCCAGCAAGTCAAACACCTCTTCTTTGAAAATCTGCAGTATTAAGTTTGATTGTCAACCAACTTGAAAAATGAAATATGTTCAATACTGAATGTTAAACTTTGCATCTGATACCTCAATGAATGACACTCTAATGAGAAATTCTGTGGACTCTTTCATTGTCTCCACTCTGGAGAAAATTGTATCCATCACCTTGGGAATAACACCGCTGCTATGGTCTTCGCCGTTGTAATTCGTACCCATTGTGTATGTCTTTCCTGACCCCGTCTACAATTAAATAACAAAATGAAAAGAGGAGATCATGCAGCAACGATCAACACTTACAACAACAAAAAAAAACTTGTCATAAGTTTAAGGGGAAAATGAGCAAATCAAATATTGAAATTTGAACTGCCGACCTGACCGTAAGCGAGTACTGTGGCATTATATCCATGGAATAGGGCATCAACAAGTGGAGAAACACATTCCTCAAATATTGAGGAACATGGCGAGGCGTTGCCACCAAATATGTTGTCAAATGTAAATGCATGAGACCCAATTTGGACCTGCTTGCAGCCATGTGCACCATAGAACACCAAGTCAACATGACATTAATTCTCGATTCGGGGGAAACTACACACATAAAACTGAGTGAAGAAAATATAAAATAACCCACTGCTATAGTTACGCGCAAAAGCCATAAACAGAAGTTAAGAGCATAAAAATAAACTCCATAATGAAAAATTGACAGAAAATCACTTGCCAAATTCTAGAGAAAATACACATAGCTATAGTGATGGATATGAAAGCAAAAACCCTAATTGAAATACAAATAAAAATGGCTATATATAAATCAATGGCCACATAATGTCATAATTTCCCATGAAAGATAATAATCATACAGTCTAAAATAGATAGCAATTTAACAGAAAAAAAGTACCTGTTTCTCCGCTGGATAGACAGTAATGCAATCGGTACAACCAACAAGAAGCTCAGAGGTCACGAGTGGTCTGATATTGACCGCAACCCTAACGCTCTGTGAAGCCTCGTGTTCCATTTTCGCAGACCAAGAGTTGTTTTCACTAGCACCCAAACCCTAACGCCCCAATCTGAAATTTAGAGGAAAAATCAAGCCCAGCAGCGTTAGCAAAACTAGGGTAACGAACCACATTTCAAAAATTTTCAATGAAATAATGATTACAAATGGGGGAAAATATTAGCGCACAAAATGAATCGAAACAGCAACAAAATGGAATTACATTTTCTTAGCTGAAAAGGGAGAAGCCGACGGAATTGAGTTCAACTGAGTGGCGTTGGAGTGAATGTGAGCGGCTATCTGATTTGAAATCTGGAAGAAAGAGAGAAGATGATGGTGGAAGAAAAAGAATGTAACAGCTAGATAATATTTGAAAAGATAATATTTGAAAAGGGAAAAGGCGGTATGTCGAATTGGAAATCCACAATTCAACTTTTGCACGTCATGAGAGCACCGCATGTCGAATTGTGATTTTGTATTCCGACTTACATGGGTTTTCAAACAAGTTTTTTCATGATTTTCAAAACCCGACCGGTTGAACCGGGAACTAGCCAGTTCAACGGTCCGGTTCTCAATAACGAATTGTCTGCCAGCAAAATCAGTCAAAACCCGTCAATGACCGGTTCAGCCGATCAAAACCGGACCAAACTGGTCAAAAACCGCTTGATTCAACGGGTCACTGTTTCTTTTTTGTCTACAAACAACAACAACATAGCTTTTTAGTCTAAAACAAGTTGGGGTATGCTAGAGATAAACCCAAGAGAACCACTGGTAAGAGACACAGAAAAATGGCTCAAAAACCAAAGAAAGAGATTGAAGCAAAAGAGAAATGAGCAAAAGTCACGGTTCTTGAACGTTGATTGCTAGCCTCCAAGCGTTCTTATTCACCGTTAAATCCTTGGAGATATTTAGATCTTTAATGTCTCTCTTAACCGACTCTTCCCAAGTGAATAAATAAATTCTACAACATATATAAAACAACTAAGGGGTTGATTGTTTATCAAATAATTTGTTCAAAATGAGTTATTTTGGTTAACCATAGTTAACTAGTACAACACCCGTGTATTACACAGGTGCTTGCTAATTTTTTTCTTAAAATCTAAAATTAATGAGAAAAAGTAGTTTGAAAATTTAAATACCTTTTACAATAATATATATATATATATATATTTATTATGACATTTTTTATTTGTGCAACTTACTTGTGTTATATTATACTAATTTTTTTAACTTACAATATATAACTATATTACATATAAATATATCAGTTGAGAAATAATTTTATTCTTCTAATGAATTTTAATAAATATTATTATTTTTTATTATTATAAAGATAAATATAATTTATTTATTTCATATATACAATATGGATGTCAAATCGAAGATCATCAAAAGATGTTTAATTTGATATATTATATATGTAAAACCGATAAGAAACACATAAGTTATCAACTTTTAAAATACATTTATAATTCAATAGCTTATTGAAAGAAACAAATCAAAATTCAGGGATATATTAGTCACTTAGTGCCTCACTGTGTAAAATTACAAAGAATTAAAGGGTTATATTAGTAAAAGTGATAATTAAAATACCTAAGTTAGCTAAATAATATTTATGAAATACCCGAACCTAGATTATTAATTATTAATATATCAATATTATATATCCAAACCTAATTACGAAACATGATTCTTCGCCAAATAGGATTCCGAAGCACTAAAAGCAGCCACGTAGGCTCAGCGCATTCGGGAATTATATATAGGGAGGATTTTGAAAAAGGTGTATGGTTAGTTTTTAGTAGAATTTTAAAAATGTATTAAAATGTTATTTAAAATAAAATGATTAAAATTGATTAGATGTAAAAGTAAGAGATAAATAATTGAAAATGATAGGTAGTTAAAATTATGTGAGTTGATGAATAGTGAATTAAAGTTGATGTGATGTGTAAACAAAGATTGGTTCATATTATTTAATTATATGAATAATATTAAAGATAGTGGGATTGAGTTAAAACTGAGTTAGATTTTGAGTTGAAATAAAAGTGGGTAAAATAATTTGTAAACAATCAAGCCCTAAACTACTACGTTAACTTATGTGGGACAAGTGGTTTTTTGTTTATAACCTGCTTTCCAACAAAAGTCATTCCCCACCTGAATCCCCTACCATGCTATAATTCTGAGATAATTAGCGATGTGGGACTAAGTAGGTGTACGTATTCCAATTGTTGCCTGTTGGGACTAAATTTATTTTTTAAATATTTTTATCCTATTATTTTGTTGCTTAATTGGAGTGGGAGGAAATTTCTTTTTCCATATATTTTCCTATTATTCTATTGCTAAACCTATATATGGTCGGACCAATCTTTTATAAAATAAGTCAACGATATTTAATATTTATATAATAATATATATTTTAAAATATTAATAAATTCAGTAACTTAAAAATTAAGTGTACTATATTTATGAAATATTATATATATTTAAAAATATCAATAAATTAAATAACGATCAACAACCGGTTCAACCACTGGTCGGACAAGTGAACCATTGAACCAGTAGCTTGACTGGATTGATGACGGGTCCAGTTTTGAGAATCTTGGATCTTTTGAGGCAATAAAATAACACTCAAATTTTAGGAAAGATTTGTTGGCAAAAGACTTATTTACACTATTTTTTTTAATGAAAGTCATATTTAATTGAACAAGTTTTCAAGGTCTATATTCTGATATTTTACATTTAAATAATTATAGTTCATAATGGATGAGTAGAAGTTCATATTATTGGTTACTTGTAAAATAAATATCTCACAACAGGTGGAAATGAAAAATATATCATAAACAGTTGTAGTGTAATCTGAATCGGTTGGTCTTGACTGATGGATTGCACTAATACATCCTGGATATATTGAGCATATCCCAAAGAGGATAAGCAAGGGCGTAGGGAGGGGTAGGCTAGACCAGGATCTAGCCCGGTCTTAATTTGTGTGTGTTCTAATATATAAAGTAGAATTATTTTAGCTAATGAAAAGTTCATTTGCCCAAATTTATTCTATATAAAACCAACCAATTATATATATGGACATGATTTTATTCTCTTCGTAGACTTTTTTTTTTTTTGTCGTAAGGGCTAAAATTATCATTTTTTTTCTTCATTTTTATATCTGTTTAGTTGAAAAGGATCCATATTAAGCTACTTCATTTAAGAAAATTGTTAATCCCATATCATTTATATTACTTCATATATATAATACCTCAAATTACTTACTATTTTCAAATATGATATTTTGATATAAAACTCGACAACTTCAATCTCATTTATTTGTGTACCCACATTTAATTAAATTACATGTAAATTTTCACAGTTTAAGTGACATACTAGCACGTATCCCGTGCGATGCACGAGACAAAAATATTAAATGAATTATACTTTTACAGTCTTTTCAGTTTAAGTCTAAAAAATAACAGGATTATTATCTATTTTCTACCTCTCTTAATCAACATTGAGCCAAAAAATACAATAGAGTCATAAGCTTTTTTCTACATCTTTTAGCCAACGCTGTTTTTTTAGCTAGAACATTAAATATGAGCATGTTAGGGCTAGTTTGTAAAATAATTAATATATTATCTCACTAAAACATTTATACTAATAAAAATTTAATTTTAGCATATAAATTTATCCCTTGATATAAGAGAAAGTAACAATTTTACTTATTTTGTTCACCATATAATATTTAATTATTATTTTATATATTATATAATAAAAAAGAATACTGTTAAATAGTGCAGTAAAATTTTTATAAAATCATATGATTTCTTTTACAATATAGATTTAATATCTTTTTATAATTTGATAATATAACTATAATATATTCTTAATGATATAATGATTTACTTAGTATAGCTAGAATGCTGACAAATAAAAAATAAACTATTAGATGCAGCCAATATTCTGCTATAAGATAATGTTTTCTCGTCATGATAAGGTTTTTATCCATCATATTTTTCTACACATCTATTAGATTAAAAATTTAGATGCAACCATCATTCTGCTATAATTAAGATAAAAGTTTCTCCAGAGCGAGATGCATGCCACATGTCATCTAAGCTTTTTGATTTTTTTTAGTTTGTTATTTTTAATTATCAGAAATTTGTCCGTGTGAATTGATTTACAACATACTGTACGTTCAATTTTACAACATACTCTACATTCAATTAAGACTGATTTTCATTTGCTAATAATTTATAAAGTTTGATTATTAATTTGACCAAATATTCTGCTTATTGATTTATAAAGTTAGATTATTATTTTGACCAAACAGGAAAGATGAACTTGTTGGATCAATGTTGTTAATCTAAACAAACATAAAAGTTTATCATATTATTTTTTAGTCTTTATCAGTTTGTAACGTTTTATCAGTGTATGAAACATTTTCATGATTTTTTTTTATTTATGTGGTTATGTGTTCGTGTATCATAAGTTGCAAACATAATGAATAATGAATAACATTATAAATTATTCATTCAAACTTTATTTATTACAAATATATTAAAATAGTTTATATAACAACCATTAAATACCACTTTCAATATATTTATAAATAAAAAGGTACATAAAATTTCTAGTGTGTTCAAATTTTATTAGTTTTTGGTGGGCTCAATTTTAAATCATCTAGACATTTGGTCAAACACATAGGTGTGTTCAAATTTAAATCATTGGCATTTTGTTCGATTGAAATTTAAATTATGTTCAATCATCTATCATGGTACTATGATGTGTATAATGTATATATACAATTTTTTGACAAATAATATGTGTTTTATAAAAATGATAATAATAATTTCACAAGATTTTAGACGTAAAATTTGATTTCTAATCACAATAGAAAAATCATGGTAAGTTGTATTGAAAATGTGTTATGGGATAAAACATTTAAATAAATAATTAAATAAAATACTTAATAAAAATATAATACATTAATTACCTTTGACTTTTCTTATTACAAATTCTAGTAAATAGATAGC